GCTGTGACTTCTTTCTCCTGATTGCAGCCCAGAAATGCTGCAAGGAGATGCTCCGGCCTCAGATTATAAGTCAACCTGCCTGCCACACTGTGTAGCATCACTCTACTTGTGACCTGTGTGCCCTCTTCACCACATGTTTCTTTCACTATTTTAGTTAAGTGACTCACATGTTCATTATTTCCTTAATGGTTCAGGAATTTTTTTCATCCAAGAACATTGCATGAAGAAACACAGACATAAGAAGATGGAGGCTAAGTTTTCTCCTCCAAAATCAAGTCTGAAGTATGATGGTTGTAGTTTTCCTGTATTCATCAATGGGACCTGGGACCTTCTCAGTCTCTCTCTCCCTGTCCTTACCATTTTAGCTGTGCTTCCCTGTTGACTTTAGATAACAGGATGCATACATAGTTCACGTCATATTCATGATGAAAAACTATTACAAAACTCAGTGTGTTTCGGGGCTGGGGACTTAGCTCAGTGGCATAAGCGCCTGCCTTGCAAGCAGGGAGTTGTGAGTTCAACCCCTGGTACCGATAAAAAGGAAAAAGACAAAAAAAAAAAACTCAGTGTGTTTCTTTCCTCCACAAGAGAAGAAATCTAACAGATAAGAATGTTCCATACATGGATTTCCACTAGATCCTTTGCCTGGAATCTGAGAAAACTATCTCGCTTACAACAAATATATATTACAATGCGTGGATACAAATCTTTGAGACAGTCTGCTGAGACTGTCTCAAACTGTCTAAAGGATGGCCTCACCCAGAAGATGAAACTCTGAGAGCAGGACTGTGTATTGGTCATGCTCAATTTCCATGAAGGAATGTAGAGCAGGCCACCAAGATCCGAGTAAATATTCAGCGTGAGTGGTCTCTTTTCTGCATCTTTGGTACCATAACCACCAACCTCCCACACATCCCCTTATGTCTACACCTGGCACCAGCCCCTGAGTCATGTGTCAGTCCCTGAGTCCTTTACCATCCAGTGCAAAGCTCTGGGACAACTTCCAAGACCACACTCCATATCAAAGAAAGGTACAGACAGGCCTCAGGTGGGCCCTGAGCTCTCCCCCTCCTCCAGGTAGATGTGTTCAAACTTTTCCAAGTAATCTTAGCTCCTCCTTCCTGGTCATAAGACAGGCAGAGGATACAGAGATAAGGAGGATTCCTCACCCTGGGGCAAAGCAGGCTAAGAATCAAGAAATCTGAGCATCAGGTTCTTAAACTGCGACTGGACCACACACCCTGGCCTCGAACAACTGGTTTTCAGTGACCACCGGGAGGCAGCAGACAGTCACAGGTGAAATTGCTTGGGATTGGGTGGGCCTGGGCTTCAGGGAAATTCTAAACTGACTTTGCCCTGAGATCAGAAAAAGATGTCAGTTTTATATAACACTGTCCTTGATATACTTCATGTGTCTCAGATCAGCCTCTGATAGTTTGCTTATGTGTCTGGCACATCTGCCTGCTAGGATTATTTCCAAAAGATGAAAAATATTTCCAAAAGATGAGAAGTATAAAATAAAAAGCGGCCTTTATTCTGAGAACACGGAGAGAGATGACCGGCACCCCCACCACTGGCTTCCAGCGATCTCTCCGGTGGACACATGGCATGGGGGCATGTAAATAGCCTCAGTTTGGGGTGGAACCTAAGGTGGGCATTAGGGATGTACTGGTAGCCCATTGGTCCTAGGTTTGGCGCCATATGTAAAGTTCCAGGGGCGGGAAGATGGTGTCACAGGTAACTTCCTAGGGGCAGGGGAGATGGGGCTTCTTGTTTCTGGTTGAGTCTTTCCTGGCTACAGAGTCCTGTCTGGGCCAAAACCCTTTCATATCCTGTCTTATGATTATTATTGTGAAAAGGGGCAAAGATTTCTCTCTTTAACTACTTTCTGCTGGCAGAGGGTGCTGTACTGGAGCCTAGGGGAGTCGATGAGATGAAGGTTGATGCCCAAGTAGACGCTGGTGCCAGTTGTTTTGGCCAAGACAACTTCACTGGTGAATGCACGTATGTTAGACTGGAAAAACAAAGAGACAAGATGTTATGAGGAGACAATGGCACTGTCATATTTATGGACCCAAGTGAGGTAGAGGGAAAGGTGTCTTTGATTTAGACCTGTTATTCTATCAGGATGACGTTGAGGTAGGAACATTTTTATGGCAAGGCAGCTTTCTGAAAAATTAAACGTGGGATTAGGAGGAGTGAACTTATGAGAGGTGCTTACTCCCCCATATGAAAGCATAAAAGTTAAAAGGTAGGTAGGTAAGGCTTATCTCTGGTATATATGATGTTGGAGTCTGTAGGCAATCCTGTTAGAAAGTCCTGCTATAGAAATGATCATTAATAGAATGTAAGAAATTAAGCACCAAATTGGATAACAAAACATGACAACCTGTGAGTCGTAAGGCAGAGATGAGTACCAAAAGGATGGTTAGACCTAGGGCCTGAGTGGTGTGAAACCAGGATGGCAGTTTAAAAGGGAATAAAAGCATTTTAAGATTTAGGACTGGGACCTGCATAAAAATAGGCCCTGTTTATAACTGGCATGGTTTGACCTTTAATACTGCATGAGACATTGAGGATTTATTAGCCTAAAAACTCAGTAAGAACTCTGTATATGTGGTCTCTTATGTCCACGAATATAGAGAATGTCTTACCTTGAGAGTTTTAAAGTGACTTGGATTCTGAGACAGATATCCACTAAGGCAGTTGGCCCCTGTGACCTGTGAGGGCTACAAGTTAGGATGGCCCAGCCACTCTCTGGTGGCCAGGATAGCCCAACAGCCCTGGAGTAAGGTCTCGAAGAATGCCAGGATGGGGGATTTTGTCTGGTGTCTTCTGATGAATTTGAGTGTGGCACATAGCGGAGGGGCAGGTAGCTTCACCTTGTGTAGATTTGTCTGTCTCAGAACTGTAAGAGTTATTTAAAATATGAACAACCATATCAAGGTCTCTGTGGAGCTTGAAAGTCAAGTTTTGCCTTGTTGTTTGAGATCTGGACTATAGTAAAAGTTATCTGTAGAATTAAGTAAGTATGTAGGAGCTTAATATTGGCATTTAAGATTATAAGGCAGGCAGGCTGGTAAAATTATCAGGTGGTCAGTAATATTGAATAAATGGTAGAAAAATTGTAAGAAAAAAAATAGCCTCTCTTGAGTGGAGCTGAATTGTAAAAAAAAAAAAAAATGTTTGAGCGGGGCCACGAGACTTTGGAAACGCGCAGTGTTTAAGGCAGCTTGAAACACTGAGATAGATAGCACCTGTAGGAAGAGAGCAGAGTTGTGCTTGGGGCAAGATGAGCACCACCACACAGCAGGCAGGGGTGGGCTGACATGGAACATGCAGAGTGGGTGGGGCGAACGCTGGGACATAGTGTGCAGGGGCGGGCAGAAATCTCACCTAGATGCTACTATGATGTGCTAAGACGGCGTAGGAAAATAATGTATTTCAGCTGCGACTGCGCAAGGGGATGGGGCTTGGTAGCAGTGGCACGCGCCCAGCACGCGCCCGGTGCCACAGAGGAACAGCAGCGGCGGAGGCAGTTTGTGTCCAGCGCCGCAGAGGGGCAGGCTGGCATGGAACACACAGAGTGGGCAGGGCAAACGCTGGGACATAGTAGGCAGGGGCGACAGAGGTCCCACCTAGACGCTACTATGATGCGCTAAGACAGCGCAGTGAAATAACGTATTTCAGCTGCGACCATGCAAGGGGCTGGGGCTTGGAGGCCTGTAGTGGTGGCCAGAGGTGATGCCTGGTGCCATGGATGGATGGCGGCCGCAGCTCACGTCTGGGGCCACGGAGGGGCGGGGTGGCGGCTGCGGGAGACACATAGCCTGAGGCCAAGTGTGCTCTGCTCCCAAAGGCATGAGACTGGCAGCTGGTGAGCAGCAACCTGCAGGAGCCAGCACGTTTGCGAGGGACGCACGGCCCAGGGAGTGACCCCAAAAGCCGAACCAATGGTGTGGACAGTCTCACGGGTATCTGTCAGCGACGGAATGACTGGAACGAATGAGCCAGCGTGGCATGGAATGGGCTGGAGGAGGAGCTGAAACTGTGACCCACAGAATTGGAACGCAATGTGAGAGCGAAAAGAAAAAAAGCTGTTTAAAATCTAAAGCAGATTTATGTGAATCTCTTACTGTCTGGTCTCATTTTAATCTCAGCGGCGGGGGATGGGTTGGAGCGCACGGAAAATGAAGCTGGCAGTGCGGTGGGGGGAGAGGAAGCGCACGCTGGGAAACAAAGAGACGCTGGCTGCACAATTGGGGGTCTAAAAGGCTGCAAGGGAAGAGCTGTTATCTCTTTAAGTGTGGGGAGGGGGAGGGACCCTGGAAGAGACAAAGGGACAGGGAAGCTGGCGGGAAAGGTGCACATTCCCGAAGCAATGGTAAAAAGCTTTAAAGTGAGGGTCTCTCAGTGTGGGCTGTCCAGAGGACATCAGCTTGCCTAGAAAGCCCCAAAAGCTCTGGAAAAACGTGAGGGCCTAGGTTTGGGCTGTCTAAAAGACGTGAAAGGATCATGAACCCACGCAAAGAGGGGAGAAAATCCACGTGAGCCTGGCTCAGTGGCTGTCTCTGGGGAGTTACTCACCTGAGGTAAATTGGTGGGTGTTGGTTGAGAAGCAGCAGTCAAGCTTAGAATTTGTGAGTGTAGAAGTGAGGAATCTTGAACAGCAAGGGACTCGAAACTGGGAAACAGCCCCAGGAGTCTCTCACCTGCTGTTGAGTCACGGCCCCATCTGAAAGAACTTAAAGCAAACGGGGCAGCGGTGAGTGGAGGCGGCTGGCAAGAGATGGAACGCGTCTTGGCAGGAGGAAAAGTGCAGAATCAGGCTAGGATGTTATCGGTTCGTGAATTGGTGGGGGACCTAATTGGGTGTGTGTCCCAAGAGTCAATTGCCTGCCGATTGAGTCACAGGGCACCATCTGATAGGTCTGATAAAACTGAAGAGATAAGAAGTATAAAATATAAGTAACCTTTATTTCGGGAATGCGGGGAGAGACACCTCCAACCCCCTGGGGCGTGGCATCTCCACCCCAGGGCCGGCAATCTCTCTCTGGAACACATGGAGTGAGGCACATAAGTAGCCTCGGCCTGGGGTGGAACCTAGAGGGTATTAGGGATGCACAGGTAGCCCACTGGTCTTAGTTTGGTGCCAGAGGTTGGTTTCTAAGGGTGGGGGTATAGGGTTACAGGTGAATCTCTAGGGGTGGGGGAGGCAGGAGCACCCTAATTCTGGCTGAGGCTTTTTTTGGCTACAGTGTCCAGTCTGGGCCAGCAACCCTTTCAAATAGATTACATATTGTTATCTTAGAAATAGTTGTTCAAGTTACAAAATTAAAGCATATAAAGTGGACTTTCAAACAGTGAAACTGCAAATAGTTTTGTTTAATGATCCAACAAAACTCAGTAATATGGTTCTCTGTCTTATACACTTAAATATATATGCGGTTATATTCTTTAGAGCAATTTCTTTTCCTTTCTTTTGTACAATGACAATTACACATTTTGGGTTTTATTACTCCCACAGTTCTTATTCCTTTTTTTTTGAAGAGAGTAAAACCAAATACGACATAACAGAACAGAGTCAGTCAAATCAAAAGGATGGACATAATAGATAATGTAAAAACAAAATGCTAGGTGATCAACAATGGTTACCATACTGCCTCTTGCTATCTTAAAAAGAATTGCCTATATCATCAGTTATAATAAAATTGAACAAAACAGTAAAGAATAAAACCAAAACATCGGAGACATTACAGGACTTTAAAAGAAGATAATAGTCAACCGGAATCGGCATCATAATGAATCTTATTGTTTTTACAGTTGTTGCCTATACTTTCAAACTTGGTACTAGCAAGCAAAGCAGAATAGAGGAAAATCAGTCAAGCAAGATGGTGAGGGCTATACAGGGTTTCAAGTCAAGTGAATAGGAAATCAAAGTGGGTTACTATAATAATATATCCTGCTTTTTTATTTTTCCCTTAATTAAAAAGAAAAAAATAAAAAGTAAATAATTAAAAAAGGAGACTGAGATAAAAGAGGGCATAACAACAAAACAGCACAGGTCAAAGCATAACCATTTAAGCAAAATAGTGTTTCACCACAAGACATTCTGACATAAAAGTAGTTACCATAGCATCTCTTTCCTTGAAATCTTTGAGCATAACTTCGTATACTATAGCACCAAACATATCAAGACAATGTAAAACCATTCGAGAGAATGACAGTATTACAGGTTATTTAGAACCAACCAGCAGAAAATGAACAGTGGTTTCTGTATAATCTCCTTGTCTATAAAAGCTTTTGCTTATATTATCACATATAATAAAATCCAATAATATACAACCTGTTAAGACCAATGGAGACAGAAGAATAAATGCTTGATGGGACTTCAAAGCAAGATGATACTAAATCAGCACTAGCCATTATGGTGTCTTGTTTTCTCCAAAATAGCTGTTCCTACCATCCAATCTTCTCTGCCTCATTTCTGATGAGCAATTTTTCTATCGTTTGTTGTCAGTTTGTCTTCTTCATTTCGCTTTCTGCTCCATTCATTGTGGCCTCTCTGCCACTGTTTCTGAAGTCTTGGTATTTTCCTTTTTTAGAATATCCTGCAGTATTCTCTGTAGAGTTGAATTGGTGGTTGCAAATTCCCCTAGTTCCTCTTTATCCTGGAAGCACCTTGTTTTTCCATCGATTTCTAGGGATAGTTGTGCAGGATATATCAATCTTGGCTGGAGGTTGTTATCTTTCAAAGCTTGAATTATTTCCCCCCACGCTCTTCGTGATTTGATGGTTTGTGCCAAGAAGTCTTCTGTAATTCTAATGGGTGTTCCCTTGTGAGTGATCTGTTTCTTGTCTCTGATGGCTTTTAGTATTCTGTTCTATTAGATTTCTGGAATTTTGATTATTATATGCCTGGGTGTAGCTCTGTTTGGGTTGTAGGAGGCTGGGGTCCTGTATGCCTCATACATCCGAGTATCTTTACCTTTTGCTAAATTAGGGAAATTCTCTTGGATTATGCCTGTGAATAGCTTTTGTAGTCCATTTGTGTGTGTCCCTACTTCTTCTTTTATGTTCTTAATTCTTAGGTTGTAGATCCTCTTATCATCTTCTAGTGTTTGTATTATTGCTGTTTATTTTCTTGTTATTTTTAAGAAGTTTTCCATTTCATGCTCCCATATTATAAGTCTGCCCTCCAATTCAGATAATCTATCCTTAGTTTCTTTCAAGCTGTTATGCCAGCTTTTGATAGAGTTTTTAGTTTCCTGGTAATTCTTTGAACCTGCTTCATGTATTCTATGTTTTCTCTATTTTATCTATCCAACAATTCTCCCCTTTTTTTCTGTTCTTCCATTCCACCATCTATTTTTTCTTGGGTGGTGCGTAGCATTTCTCTAACTATTTTCCTTATCTCTTGCTTTATTTCATTAAATACTTCATTTTTGAACTCGTCTATGAGGCTCTGGAGATATCGCTTTATGTCTATTGGTGCCATGTCTGATATTGCATGTTTTCTGTCTTCCTTTGCATTTCCCTTTCCTGGATCAGTGTTCTCAGGATTGGGGATTGAGGACCCTTTCTTGTTGCTTCCTCTTCCCATACTTTTTGTTCCTTCCATACAAGTGAATGTAGAAGGCCCAATTTTTTTCTCTTTTTTCAATTATAGTTTGTTTGAATTGCACCGGCTAGGTGTTCCCACCCACTGCAGTGTACTAGGGAGACACAGACCTGGGAAGCCTCTGCTGGGACCACCCCACCAGGTCAACCTACTGAAGGCTTCACTGCTAGGGTGCACCTCCAGGCGCTGGGACCTGTGTTAGACTCACCTACTGGGTCTAAGTCAGTGGCATCACACAGGCCAGGCTCTCCCCACCAATCCTGCTTGACAGAGGAATATGTGACTGAAGTCACTGCAGTGCCCCATCCCAGCAAGTCTGCCTGGTCCCACTATGTCCTTTGCTGGAGCCTCCTACTCTATGAAAGGGTCCCTGTTCCACCTCACTCACCGCAAGTCAGTGTAGGGCTCCCTGCTAGTTCTGCTCTCAACTCCATTTGCAGATTCCCGCTCTCAGAGCTTTCATGCACCTCTCTCCCTGCACTGCAGATTTGGACACAGCAGTGGCAGCAGGAAATTCAGATCGTGGCTTCCAGTGGCGCAGGTTCTAGCTTCTGTGCTGAGATTTTATCTGTTCCTGTTATAGCACCAGGATTGGATTTCCAGTTGGTTTCTCTTAGCTTAGTTCATTCCTGGGTCGGCAGGGTGTATCTCCCCTTGCTTAGGACTCCTCGTACCGCACCATTCCTGGATTCTAAGCGGGATATCTCAAAGAGCCTCCATAGCTGCTGCTATCTATCCATCATGTTCTTCCCAGCATAGTTATTTAAAAAAAAAAAAAAAAAAGAAAGAGGGACTTCTGGGAGAACATGGAAGAAATAATGGTTAATTATGCAAATTAAAACCTGAGCACCAGTTTTTAACACTGAGAAATGAGTTTCATCCATTCATTTATGCTACTAAGAATGTAAATTTCAGACTGGCATTGGCACATGCCTGCCATCCCAGCATTTGGAAAGTGGAGGCTAGAGGATTGCCATGAATTCAAAGCCAGTCTGAGCTATGCGTAAGTTTAAGGCCAGCAGAGCTATACAGTGAGTCCCTGTTTCAAAAAAAGAAAAGAAAAAATAAATTTTACAAATCAGCTAACTCATGGATTGGAACTCCAAGCAAACTTTAAAAGTACTCATGAAATGTATGGCTAACTTGTTTATTAATCTTCACACGAGCAGTGGATTCTCCCATTTTTTGCATGGCCACAGTAAGATTTTACTATCTGTAGGCTTAGTGAGGACCAAAAGTAGGGGCTGGTACCTGCCCTGGACACTATAGACAGCACCTCCTTCAGTACAACTCGCAGATCACAGAGCCTTGTGCTTGCAGGAAAGATGGCCAAGACAGTGAGCCCTGCCAAGGTACAGACAGAGGCGAAATTCTGGGGCTTCTCCAAGGTGGCCTGGATCCCTCTCCACTTCCTTTCTTCACTGTCTGCAAAGAGGACATGTACAGATTCTTAAACTAGGCCTGGTGCCCATTGAAGCCTGTGCCTGGCCCTGACTCTGAACTCAGCACAGAAGATGCTGCCATCAAGGGACCTCTGAACATGAGACCCTTACCCAGTCTTCTGGACCTGCAGGCTGCAGTTTTCCTTAGTCTACAGTACCCCAGCAGACATGGTCTTAATACACGTATCATCTACGAGCTTAGGAGCTAGAGGAGCAGATGCAGGAAAATCAGCAGCAGCCAGACCACCTTTGCACAGCACAGCAGCCTCCTCAGTTCCCACAAGTTCTCCATGGTAACTAGACACAACCCCTGGACTCTACTACCTGCAGGCTGATCTGAACTCCTAGTGATGACCACACCATGACAGGGACACATGAGACAGAAGTCCAGCTGTCTTGCCTGACTATCAAACACCCTCCTCTTCATCCCAGTCACATTGTGCCTCCAAAGAAGCCAGGATGAATACTTATGACAAGTAGGTCGCTTTTCTGGACCTGGGAGCATTATCTCAGTTCCCAGTAACTGAAGTCTCTCTGGGCTTCACCTTTACCTGCTGTGAAGCACAGACACCTATACGCATCTATCTTAGGAAACAATGTTTTCAGAACTAAACCTTTTAAACTCATGAAAGGGACCTTTTAAGTAAAAACACATTCAATGCAGTGTCAGTGAGAGGAAGCTCAGGACCTAGAGTCTTCTATTTTTCCTCTGCAGTAAGCCAGGGGAACAATCACATCAAGGATCAAGTTTTCTCTGTGGTTGGAACATGCACCCCAGGTCTGGATAAGCAAATGTTACCAGGCTTTATCAAAAGAGCACAGGAGACTGAAGTAGAAATTGTCCTCTGTGAGCTATGAGGTACTTGATTAAATAATAATGGCAGTGACAAAAGTGACAGGGATGAGAAGGTAAGGGCACTGCTGGGCACTTAGTGACAGAGCACACTGACCCAGCAGCTGCTTACACTGCAGGAGATCAGCACCAGTCCTGGCTTAAACACCCAGGAGCCCAGCTCCACGGTGTCACAGCCATTTCTCTGAAGGTTTCTATTCTGCAGAAGAGCTCTAGAGGCAACTCTCCTTTCTCTGAAAAGAACAAAAGTCCTAGGGAATAACATCTAGTTCTGAGACAAAGTTACAAGCACTGAACCTCTCCTACCTCTCTGCACATTGCAGTCACTAGTTTCTGATTCTGGCTAGAGTAAGGGGCAAAGCCCACATAGTGAGGCTGGACTCCCTGCCCATCATCAGGTGACGGGGGCTTTGGAATTATCTGGAGGGCAGATGCTCCTTCCCTGAGGCAACTTCACCTGAAATCTGTGGCAGAGGTACAACCAGAAAGCCAAGAGAGGAGCTGGGGCTGCCCAGTAGGGTCCTACAAGGAAGCCAAACCTGGGGGTGAACAGGTTTCCAAGGGTGAGTTATCAGATTGAAAGTCAACAGACAGGAAACCCTATCCTATGCTCTGTAGTGATCTTGCTCTGTAGTGATCTAAGAATTAAAACTCATGCAGTGTCACCCCAGACACTGAAAGGTGCCTGGGCTGAGTAACAGCCTTACCTGGGAAATGTACTGGAGAAGTCTGGTGCCAAGTATGATCCCAGGTGGCTTCTGCAGAGCTACCAGTTTCCAGGGAGACAACTCCAAGGTTCAGTTGCTCTAGGAGGTAGTATAGAGTGAGATGCAGGGCTCCCAGAGCCTGTGTGCTTCATCCAGCACGAGTGCATGGGCCTTATGCCCACTCTTGTGTTACTCTCCAGCCGAGGTCCTGGGGTTTGTCCTTCTGACCTAGGCACTTCCAGAGACTCTTCCCACTCCTCACTAGCCTCTTCTCCCACCTACGGATAGATGTGCTCTCAGGCTGCAGCACCTCCACTCAGGTGCAGGCTCAGCCTGGTGAGGGGGCGCTCAGGGCAATATACCTGAACAAGGCCTCCATAGCCTTTTTATAAGATTACACGGTGACGTCAACTCTCACCTGCATCAGATCACAGCTCTGACCAAGGAGCTGTCCTTGATTCAAACATAGGATCTTCCTTGCTAAAACGTCTACTGACCACACACTCTTCAAAACTCAAACAAGGGAAACTGTGACCCTGGGAATCATCACAGAAAACATAAGATCCAATGTGTATTCTCAGTGGTGTCTGGTCTCTTGTACTCTTAACAAGACAATGTGAGGCTCGCCTCCCTGGTAAGCAGCCGTGGCTCAAGCAAGCAGCAGGTGACCCAGGGAGAGAACCAGCCAGCCAGCGTCTCTCAACATCCATAGCTTGTTGGAACTTAGGGCACTGGGCAACAAAGGAACCCACTCACCTCCCTGGTAAGCAGCTATGAGCCTATTTGCATGCAAGCTAAAAATCAAACATCCCATACCTCCTCCCATCCCCTATTAGCAAATGGGAGCCAGAAATCTAAACATCTCTTGGGAGGATGATCCTATGCAATATAGCAAATAGAGGAGATTTCCTTCTACCATCTTTTGAAGGTAAATATTATCACTGTTTCGCTTTGTTCTGATTAATTGTATTGCTCTATTCAATATTCTGTTTTGACAGGTTTTATAGTGTTCTGTATTTGGTTTGATTTTGCTATACCTGATTGAAAGGACAACTATTGTGACCGTAATGAGACATACTGTGGTACCTGTTACTATTACCCCAGTATCCTGTTTTGAAGTTCTGTACCAGTTTCACTGCATTTTCTCGATTGGTTTTGTTCTGTTGTGTTATACTACCTTCAAAATAAAAAAAGAGAAAAACCAAGATTATGTGAAAAACTGATCCCAAATTTAAAAGAAAAGAACTCTCAATGCCAGTTTCTACTGCCAGAAGGAGGATGTCACAGAAGGGGACAAATATGTGTGAAATGAGACTAGAAGTAATGATGAATGTTTTTTAAGAAGCAAATGTCATACATGAAATTCTTCAATAAGTATCCTGACACACTACCAATGAAATGGGAGGATGGGTAAAAGTATACCTGGGGAATCAAGAAATAAAAAAGAGGAAGATAGTCGAGGGTCACGGTACATTTCTGCTGAGTTAGAAGTAGTCACTGGTCTCTCAGCAGGGACCAGCCCAGTCCAGTGCTGCAATCCTAGAAGCTCAATAGCCCTGCTGACCTGAGCCCAGGACACACCACAGGCCAGGATGTTTGAGATAGTAGTCATGGGATCAAGCCCTAGAACATGACTATGGTCAGAAGCCTTGGAGGTTAAAGCTAGTTTTCTAAACCAAGAAGTAACTAGAGAAAGCTGGCCTCTACCCTTACTGATAAGAATATCCCAAATACCTCCCAAGGTATACTTTTACCCCATCCTCCCCTTTCATTGGTAGTGTATCAGGATACTTATTGAAGAATTTCATATATGAAATTTGCTTTTTAAATTCCTCCCAATGAGGAATCTCAGAAGGCAGAGTAAATTTTCACAATCACAAAACACTCACTTCCCCATGAAAGGGTTGTTGGCCCAGATGGGACACTGTAGCCAGAAAAAGCCTCAGCCAGAATCAGGGAGCTCCTGTCTCCCATGCCCCTAGAGATTTACCTGTAACCCTATACTCCCCCACCCTTCAGAATCTGCCCCTGGCGCCAAACGTGTGCCAATGAAATACCTGTGCATCTCTAATGGCCCTAGGGCACTGCCCTAAGCTTAGGCTAGTTATATTCCCCCACCCACGTGTGCGCAAGAGAGATCGCCAGACTTCAGCGACAGGGATGTCAGTCATCTCTCTCCATGTTCTCAGAATAAAGGACTCTTTTTGTTTTATACCTTTCATCTTTTGGAAATAATCCTATCATTTGGTGCCATGACTCCATCAGCAGGTGATTGACTCCTGGGACACACATACCCAGTTGGGTCCCCAGCCGATTCATGAACCGGTAACATCCTGGCTTAATTCTGCGCTTTTTCTTCTGCCAAGACACATTTCACTTGTCGCCGGCCACCTCCACGCACCACCAAACAGATTGATTTCAGGTGAGCACGCTCCGGGAAACTCATGGCACTGGACCAGGCCCCAGTGGACTGTTCTCATCCGTTTGCGTGGGTCTCTAGCATCTTCATGTCCCTAGGACAGCCCTGAGCAGGGCTTTTTTCTGGGCTAGCCTGTGTCCACACTAAAATCTCTCACGTTCTTTGGGTTCTGATAGCCCAAAGCAGAGATTTTTGGACCGCCCACACTGAAAAAAATCCCTCACTTCCTTGCAAGCCTCATGCTTTCACCGGCAAAACTGCTACTGACCTTGTGCAAACTCCACTCATAAATTTCTCAGTGACAACTAGAATATATGAGTTTTTGGAACCTTAGCCCCGCTGTGTGGTGCCACAGAATCAGTGACGGCTTATTCTCTGGGCCACAGGTTTTTTCTTGCCTAAATCATGGGAAATATACTTCCTCACTCCCAAAAACACCGTTACAATGCTTAATTTCCAATTTATGGACTTTAAAAATTAGAAGTACCATAAAACTAAATTATTAACTTTTTACTGCCAGGAAGTTTGGCCTCCGTAACCACTCCGCAGCAAGCGTTGGCCCAGGGAAGGAACATTTGATGTTTCCATTCTGCAAACACTGTATGATTTTTGCCAAGCCAGTGACAGGGTGATAAAGCTGCCATACATCGAGGCATTCCTGGTTCTGAGAACACGCCCCTCTCTCATTAAGTACTGTAATCCCACGCAAATACTCCTAGCTAGCTTTCCTACGACCCAATCTGTTTCATCCTGTCCCCAGGATATGCTTGACAATGTTCCTCCGATTTTCTCTTGGCCTCCAAGGCCCCCAGCATATCCCCAAATTGATTCCTCATCCTTATCTTGCTCCCACTGCCGTCCCCTTACCCCGCTCCTGGTCCCTCTGCACCAAAATTACCTCTCACTGTGTGATCCTCTCTCCCTCCCCCTTCCGCCATACAGGCCTCTCCCAGCAGCTCTGCTCTGCCCTCTGACACCTTCTCGCCACTTGCCCACCACACTAGGTCACATTCATTGTACCCTTTCGGCAAGCAGCATGATTTTTCCAGCTTGCGCCAGGGTGCCACCATGTTCAGGCAGTTGCCATGGCGATGGGGTGCTGCCATGTTCAGAGGGATCAAGTGGCAACAGGGCTCTGCCTTATTCAGTCAGTTACCATGGTGACAGGTTGTGGTCTCACGGTCTATGGGTGCCCCCTTGTGGCTCCTCTTGTGAACAGCAACAGCCACCTTGTGGTCCACATGAAGATGCTGCCTGTGTTTCCTCGTCCTAGGGTGAGCAGCAGCCGATCTGTAGCCGCTCTTCAGATAATTACTCACACACATCTACCAGGCGGATAGCTGCCCAATGGCACTCTCCTCCACATTCTTCTCCTCAGGCTCTGCTACCACTTTGAGAATAAGTTGGCCCCGAGGGGCTGGTCAATATCCATGTGCCATTTTCCCTTTCTGATCTGCCTCAGATTACCCATAAATTAGGTAGCTTCTCTGTTGACCCACAAAATTATATCAGGCAATTTGAATTTATCACTAATTGTTATGATTTACATTTTACAGATGTTTATGTGATTTTAAATACCACCCTTAGCTCGCAAGAGCGAAATCAGCTGTGGCAGGCAGCTCAAGAAGAAGCTGATTGCAGGCACAGGGAAAACACCACTGACAATGAACCTGGGCCTGTAGCTGTGCCAGATCAAGATCCTAACTGGAACTATCAAAATGGACAAGGTTCAACAAAATTACATAAGATGACTGAGTATCTGATTGTGGGCCTTAATAAGATCACTCCCAAGCACACTAATTATAACAAGCTTTTAGAACAGGTCCAGGAGGCTAACAAAAACCCGGCTGTGTTTTTAAATTGGCTTCAGGAAACCTTAATTAAATATACTAATGTAAACCCAGACTCTCATGAAGGGATGATTGTTGTTAACTCTTATTTTATTTCACAGTCTGCTCCTTATATTCATGCAAAATTACAAAAGGTTGAACATGGCCCTCAAACTCCACAAGGGGATCTAGTAGCCTTCCGTATCTTCAACAATAGAGATAAGATTCAAAAAGAGGAAAAGCAAGCTCAAAAATTAAAGTTTGCTAAGTATCAGTCTGACCTCTTAGCAGCAGGAGTCAGAGTTCCCAAGACAAAAAATCCACAAGATGTGGCTACCAGAATCCTGCCTGGACCATGCTTCAAGTGCAGCAAACAAGGACATTGGGCAAAAGACTGCCCTAACACTGGCATTCCTCCTGGGCCCTGCCCATACTGCAACGTTAAAGGGCATTGGAAGAGCAATTGTCCTAAATGACAGCAAGCGACTAGGCCATCCACTAATCCCTCACCCTCACAGGAGACTTCATCAATGCCACATTCATCGCTCACTGACCTGCTCAGACTTGCTGTGGAAGACTGATGGGGCTTGGGGCTCAGAACCCCCACTCAGGTAACCTTGTCAGAGCCCCAACTCTCACTGGAGGTCTCAGGCAAAATAATATCTCTGCTTGTGGATACGGGGGCAACTTATAGTGTACTTCCTGAATTTTCAGGACCCTATAGTAAGTCTTTAATTTCTGTTGTGGGCATTGACGACCAGCCGAATCAACCTTTGCAGACTGGGCCTATCCCAGTTAGATTTCAGACTTTTCTTAACCATATCTTCCTAATAATCCCAACATGTCCCACA